TTGCTAGAAACTAGCTTTATTTGCGTGATAACCGGCCTCTATAGGGGTCAGGTAACTGGCCTTGTATTTGAAAGGTTCTGGGCTCGAATCCCGTGCAAAACATGAATGTTCTTTCCTTCTCTGCACTGTCTGTTCACTGTTTGAGCAACGTTGGTCACCTAATATGGTACCCCTGAAAGAGTGGCCAACAAATCTGCCCTTCAGATACCTGTATGACGAAAGTCATTGTCCAGGTGGGCATTTAAAAAAAAGGTTTCATTTCTGTAAAGTTAGCATGGAAAAAAACAATAAAACCCAGTTTTTATTTTAAAGATAGATTTTTTATATCAAAAAATATGCTTGATACAAACATTTACTATGTTTTAGGAAAAAAATCAAAAAACTACAATCTATAATTAAAACTTTAAAGTCAGGATACAGGATGAAGATTTTTTATTAAAAAGACAGGACGAGTGTGAAGAACAAAACAAAAAAGAAAATGTTAATTTAGAAATTTTATAAGGTTCCATACTTCCCAGAAAAGGAAAGTGAAAATATTTAATGAAATAATTGTGCTATAAGGTACGCTACTTTCATTCCTGCCATTAATCAAATTTGACTTCTAAAAATTCCAGCAACGGATTATAATTAGCGAAACGTTGATACATTTTACGCATTTAATAAGTGTTCTGCTTCCAATGTAACATAAATTTTAACTTCCTACATTTGAATACTTAAATCCCTTTCAGCAAACTGAGAAGTATTCTATTTGCGATAATTTAAAAAAATGTACATTCTTTCCAAATATGTTATGGTTTTAATTAAAGAGGCAAGACTTAAAACAAGAATGATAAATTGTGGATTTCACTATTTACTCTTGCCGACTTATTCGCAAATTATTCTTAAAATCAATAGCTTTGATTGATAGTACTCCTTGAGCCTGAAGCTATTTGTAAAGATTATTAAGCCATATTTAGATGTTTAAGTAAAATAAATTAATTTTGGAAAATGTGTTTTTGATATGAAAATGAATTATTTAAACTTGTTGACGAGAGATTTTATGAAGTTCGTTTGAAATCTATAAAATTTAAATAACGTAATTTAAATAACAAAATTAAAAAATGAGTTGAAATATGCAGTAAAAGCAACAAAAATTTAGGATTTCAAGAAACTTTTTCAACTTTCTTGCAGACATGTGTATAATAGTGTTTTTATATTAATTTTAGACTACTACTTGTGTTAGAAATATAATTTTTTTAATTTTAAATAACATAAATTTTGTGTTTATGAAGATTAATGCATGAAAAAACTTTGGACAGTATAGTGATACGACACACTTGTCCCAAAAGATACATTTTTACATCAATCTATTCCTCAGTACAATTTCCAGATGGATACTTGACATGTTTCCTGAGTTTTTACTAGTTACCATTGAAACAACTGAAGTTTTTATGTGAACATTGTGATATTTTTCAGAAAAACGCTCTGAAATATCTTATGAACAATTTGAAAAAGTGGCTTATCATTATATTATCCCAAGCCTTTCTTATACATTTTAGCTAATATTATTTGTTTAAACTTAGCTGCATTGCAATTTATTGTGTTGATAGGAAATTCATAAAACATGTTATTCCACTAAAATTGCAAAAGTATGACTAAAAAATATGAAATAACATTACTAATTTAATTGAATAAACATCACTAAAAACGATATTAAAAGAATACATCCTGATCAATATCTATTTTCTGTCAAAAGATTAAAAATAAATGTTACTTTAACGGCAGACCTCATCTATTAGCAAATCTTAAAACATTACATTTACAACTGAAATAAAATTTTACAAGTACAAATCAAAGAAATGATTAAAATTATTAAAGAAATATTACTGAAAAACTATATAAAAACATTATGTCTTCTGTCTATCTTCGGTCTATAAAATATCCATATATCGAATATCCGTTTATCGATATTCATATTCTTTGCTTTGGGTATTCTTAAATTAAAAACAATGCATTTAGGGGAAAAATTTACTCTATTTATTTATTTTAAATTTTGTTTAGTTTTGAGAGCTATCCTTTTATACTTCTATTTTATTTCACCGATTTTCCATTCAATTGAAAATTAATTGAACGTACTCTTGCACTGAAATTGCATGCAAGAATTATTAAATAGATCCCTGCATTACATCGAACAGATATAACTAAAAAAAAGAACATTAAAACAATGTATCGTCTGTCTAAAATCAATCTTCTGTGAAAAGCAAAATTTCACTATAACTTTATCTATTAGCCAATCAACAAATCTAAATACACTATACATTTGAAATTAAAATAAAATCTTTCAAAAACGAATAAAAGAAATGTGTAAATCAATATTAAATCAACAAAAAAAAGGTTTTAAAGAGAATACGAAAACTATGATACGATTTCAAAGATTTAAAAGTATTTTTGAAACATAAAGTATTGACAAAAAAATTATACAAAAACAGAATTTTTAACAATTTTTGCTTGTTATTAAATAATTAAAGAAATGAAAGGACACAAAAGAAAGCTCAAATTGGAGACTAAATAACAGGAGTAAAAATGTACTTAATTATTAACTAAAAGCTATTATTAATACCGCTTGTGCAATCTTTTTTATACCATCTTTGAAATAATCTTATATATATAAAAAATATGTGATATAAATAATATAAATATGTGAAAAAAATAAGTAAGATTTTTATTATTGAGCAAGAATCTTTTTTTACAGTTTTTCAGTAATTAAAAAACGCAAGGAGACGAGAAAAAAAATCTCAAACTGCACTCAAAATAGCATGAGAAAAAATGTATTTAACTGTTAACTAAAAGCTATTATTAATACCGCTTGTGTGATCTTTGTTTTATATCATCTTTAAAAAAATCGAAAATAGGAAATGGGAAACGTTAAGATTGAAATATAATGAGTAAATGGTCTTATATATCTATATTTATGTACTAAAAAAGATCGTTGGAAGCATAAAATTAATAGACTAATAGATATTTATAGACATAGAATATGTAATTTAGTGAAAAAATATCTATAACTTTAGTCCTCACGTGTTTACTTTTTCCATTATCAATGCTAATGTTAAAAGTCACGGCATATGGTCGTTTAATAAGTGTTTATAAGTCGTGACTTAGAAGTTATATAATATTTTTTTTATCTAAACATTTCAATTGCAAAAGCTATTCACCTTTATTTGGAAGGAAGGAAAAAATAAGTTTAAAAAAAATTAATTTGTTTTTTTAAGAGAATCATTTCGTTTTTATTTGCAATATTTATAAATTGTTTTTTGCATTTTATGGATATCAGAAATTAAATTTGTAATGCTGCTTAATGGAATATTGAATTTCAAAGGGAAACAAAAAGTTTTATCTGTTACACGCGAAACTTTTAATAAGTAAAAAAATAATTTAAACTAAAATAGACTACAGATGCATAATTTTAGAGATAAGCACACTTGAACGGAAATAAACATGTGTATAGATAAATTGATCTACAAATAGATAAATTCAGACGCAAACAAAGGATTTTATTTAACGAAATGTAATGTAATGTAGTCATATTTTATTTGTTTTACTATCAATCAACCAGTAATTTAGATTTAAAAAAATATTTTATCGTGTAGCAATGTGAAGATTAATTTTTTTTTAACACACTAATTAGATTTTAGTTTCAATTGCGTTAAGTAAAAATTGTTCAGCGTTTGAAAATCTCCATGTAAACACGCATAAGCGAAAACTTAAACAAATCTATTCTTTCAACATCAAAAAAAATGTGGTCAAAACTACCAGAATATGGCTAAGGTTACCGTGTTTCCCGCTCTGTGGAAACACCAAAGAGCACGGTAATTTTTAGCGAAGTACTTGGGTAATGATTTTGGTAAAATTTACAATAACATATGGTTTTCTTAATATGTGATAAACTTTGGTAAATGTGATTAAATTTGGTAATTTAATCATGATATCTTAGAGCATGGCATTAAAACCGTAATAAATGTTTTTTTTAACCAGAAACATTATAAATTTTTCAAATTATAAGCAAATTTAAAACAAATTATAACTGCACGCTTGGTACGTTGCATGTTAATTACATCTGAAGACTTGAAATTTTCGTCTGCCACAATTATTTTCTTCCCTTTCTCTCAATAAAATCCGAAACGACATAAAAGAGAAAAAGAAGCATTCACAAAATGATTGAGAAAAGAGAAAACGGGGTAATTTTTAAATTTTCTTTTTAACTTTTTATTTAATTGCGTACAAACTGTACTTATTCAATAAGAAAAGTTTTTACATGCTTTTTCAAATTTACACGTAGTTACGTACTGATGTGTTATTTTAACAAAGCAATTAAAAGATTACTTGGTTTTTCTATACTTTTCCTTGAAAAATTTTTTTTCCTATTTCTCTGTAACTGTCCTCTATTGTTACGAAAATAAATTCCTTACCAAATTCTTAAAAAATAAACTAAATAATCAAATCCCTTAATTCCCTCTTAAGAATTTATGCCACAATACTTCAACAATAAAAAAACAACGGCTTTAAATGGATTATAAAATGACAAGACATACTTAAAAAAATTTTTTTTGAACATGGATGGGAGAAAAAAAAAAACATTCTTATACAATTCGGCAATTTTGAAAAACTAAATTCAACAAACATTGTTATCGAATTTAAATTCCAAATTAGAGTTTTATTATTATTTTAAACAAATCAAAACAAAACAAACGACTCCGACACGCGTGGTATTTCACATTTCAATTAAGTTTTGCAAGTCCCGTCTACCACAATTCTTTCCTTACTTCCTTTAATAACATCAAAAACAACAGAAAAGAGATATTTGGTTTGTCACGGAATGAGTGAGAAAAGGGGGGGGGATGCGAGCAACCAGGTGGGGAGCTAAGAGTGGGACGTACAAATTAGGGGGGGGGCGTGTGATTCGAATGTAGGAAAAGGGGGCGCGCGAGAGTCACTGGTTCGTCGTTCTACTGAAGGCATTCTCAGATCTGCTTCGGTAGAGTTCGAAGTTAGAGTAGCAACGCGGGATACGATCTCATATCTTCATATTCTCGTGAGTTTGAGATGCGGGCTGTTTGATCTACGGATCGGACATAGCCGATTTGGGAGATCGTTTGCATCACTGTGGTTCACAGAAAAGGTGAGGATACTGTTTTCATGTCCTTGAATTTAGTTTTGTTCTTTAAAATAGATTTTCGCTCTTTTTATTGGGTTTGAAATGAGAACATGATCGAATTGTTAGGTTTTGTGTTTTTCTTTCATTTATTATTTTGAATAAAGAATTATTTTATTTTGAATATTTTTTCCTTGAGTAAAATATTGCAATAAAAATGCGGTTGCTGTATGAAACAATAAACTAAACAACATTAAACTTAAAATAATGTTATTTTTAATACTGTAGTTTTTTTCATTGAATTTTTTATTATGTTATTTATTATCTTTTATTGATTATCTTAAATAGGAAAATTTTTTATTTTGAATAATTTTATTGGTTACCTTGCGCAAAATATCGAAATAAAAATTCAGTGATTGTATGAAGCATTAAATTGAACAACATTGAACTAAAGAGTATTAAAAATAATGGTATTTTTAATACTCTCGTTTTTTTTCCCTTGGATTAGACATTTTAGTAGTTTAATATAATTTTTAATTTTGCATTTGTTTTGTTGATTGATAGCATTTTATTAATTATTTAATTTACACTTTAATTTACACTTACAACATTTAGAAAATAAAAAATTTTAATTACAAAATTTTGTAGTCTGAAAGTTTTATATTTTAATAAGTTTTTTTAATTAAAATGCTTAAATATCTGTTCTTATAAACGTTTTATTTAAAAGGTGCAATAAAATACTTTTTTTTCAAAATTAAAGTATTAAGATACTGCAATTCATTATAAATATTAAATATTGTTTGCAATGAAACTATTTTAATAAATTTTCAATAATTATTTTTATAAAATAAATTTTTTTTTGTTTTTAATACCTCTTTGTAAATAGTAAATTTTATATACAATGTTTTAAAATTTTTCAAGCTAATTTACTTTAGTTTAATTAATAATAAAAAATTTAAGTATTTTAAGATCATAATAAATATCTGAGTTCTTATAAACATAATAAAGTAGTTTGTTGTTAAATGAAATTTTAATTTTGTTTTTTCTCAGCTGACTCTGGAGCTAATAAACTTAGAATTTTAAATCAATTTAATTTTACTATTTTATTTAATAATTATTAAAGACTTGGTTTTAATTTTTATTTTAATTTCTCCGAATCATCTATACGCCTGAAGAATATTTAACAATATGAAAGATTCGAAGTGCTTCTGAGACATATTTTAAACGTTACTCTTATCATTATATGAAAATCAATACTTTAAAAAAAATTTATTAATATTTTGTTCTTCAAACTTTTTTTGCTTTATTTATTTTTTTATTTTTTACTGTGGAAAATGTTAGTTTTTCAACGTTAAGATGAACAACAATGCTATTTGATTTATAAGAAATATAAAATTCTTTTGAATGTTCTTGGAGAAATTAAATGAATATACGACAATTGATAAACTCTTTCAGGCACTCAGTGGGTTTAAAATGCTTCAACAGTTTCAGAAAGACTTGAGAAGAAATCATTTATAACTTAAAAATAATAAAACTTCTGCAGAAACCAACGTGTAAATAAGTTTAAAATAAAAATAGAAATAAAGTCTTAATAAGAAGAAAAAATTAAACAAAAGCTTCATAATATTACTTTTGAACTAAGTATTTAGATTGACTCTTAAACAAAAATATTTTTTCCATAAATTTTTTTCGAGCTTTGACTTGTAAAAATTCTTCAACTCAATCTCTCGCAATATAAGCATGAGGCAATTTGCACTATGCTTTGTTCGACTTCCGAGGCTTTTAAAATAAAACGTGCTTGGAATATTCTGATTTTTGGAGTATTCGATAACTTGAATACTCTTTTAACGGAGGAAAGGGTCAATTTTATTGTTTATGTTTTTTTACCCTGAAACGATTGTTATTATTTAATATAAAATTTGAAAGAAAAAATATTCTATTCCAATTTTTATATAGTAAAATAAATTAATGACTAATATTTAAGATTATGCATCCTTTGTCATTTTGTATTAAAAATATACAAATATACTTGATATATACTTGAAATCCCGTTTATGTTTTTATTATTTGTTCCAAAAAAATTTATTCATCCATACAATCGTCTTTATAATATAACTAAAATCATATATATATTAATATGCGGAAAAAAATAGTCAATTCACATGAATTTATAATCTTTTTTTATAGGATCACTAAAATCATACTTATATTTCGTTATATTTATTCCAGAAAATAGTTCATTCTCATTGGTTTATACAGACTTCCTTATATTATCACTAATCATTTAAATTTTCTAGATATTAAAATAAAACAGAGGGAGACTTTGGTGTTTTTACGCAAAGTAATATAACGACGTTGAATATCTAAAGTATTATAGCTCCTTTCAAGTATTATATATTCGAATAGAATGAAAATTTAGAATAATTAAATTTAAAAAAATTCCCTATTTCAAAATTACATTATAGTTACTATATACGTTTAAAGCATTTATGTACCAGCAGTGTACAATTCTGATTAACTTTAAATAACACCAGTGTATAACATTGACTTCAATGTCTTTAAATAGCATCAGTGACTTAAAATAACTTTAACTTTACTTTTCTTAACTTTAACTTTAGTGTATAACTTGATATAACATCAGTGTATAACTTAATATAACATCAGTGCATAACATTAACTTCAGTGTATAACATTAGCATCAGTGCATAACATCAATATCAGTGCATAACATTATCATCAGTCTATAAAACTATTATCAGTGTCTTTAAATAGCATCAGTGTCTTTAAATAGCATCAGTGTCTTTAAATAGCATCAGTGTCTTGAAATAACATTAGTGTCCTTAAATAACATCACGGAAGTTCAACTTTATCAGTGTGCACATTGAAATAATATAAGCACATTATTGGTATATTCTCAGCATATATGGTATTATACTGAAGTTTTGTTTTAAACAGATATGATGATAAAATATTTATATAATGGAAACTCAAATGAATCTAATCATTATTAAAGGATACAGCAAAGCAGAAGTTTACTTTAAGAATACTTAAGGTAAATATTAAATATATATTTCAAGAGTTAAGTGTTTGTACTTCTTTTTTTTTCGTACAAATAGTAGGTACTCCTAATATTTGATATTTTTATTTTTTCTTGGTATAATGAATCTTTAAAGCTTTTAAATCGTAAGCTTTTTTTACTCCGGTTGAATTCCATTTATTTGGAAAGGGTAGATGCATTCCCAAGTGTAAAAACTCACCAGCACATTATTTATTTTATGGATTTCTTTTTCTTGAAATTCAACACCAGAAAATTGTTTCCTTTTTGTGCTTCATTACACAAAAGATATCAATTTTAAAAGAAAACCAAGCCGCGAAACGTAAAAGTAGTAAATAAGAGTTTTTATTTTTTTGATTTATCAGAAGTAAGCTTTTATTAAATAATCATTGAATAAAATCAACTTTGCTTTAAAATCTTGATTTTTTTTAAAAACTCTTTTATGATATTTAATAGTAAATAAGAATGAAAATATAAATACTATGAAGTTTAAACTAAGTAAATTAAAAACATAATGTTAGATACATTGTAATATTTAATTCATTTTTATTCCAACTAAAAGAAAACAAAAATTGGTTTTATACTTTAAAAAATTAAATAAAATTATATATAAAATTTTTTTATTGGATACAATTAAGATATTTATATAAATTAAATAATTAAAAATAAAATTGTTTTATTAGTTTAGTTGAAATTGAAATACAATGTTTATAAACCAATAACATTAGTTAAAAACATCATACATAATATAACATTTAGTATACGTAATTTGATTATGTACATATGCATTGATCAAACAAAAGTTTTCCTTCAAAGAATATAACTAATAAAAGAAATTATAAACATAAATCAATATTGAACAAATACTATAAAACAGATTTAATTCCATAGAAGCTTCTCTTTGTCGTTTATCAGTTGGTTTCTTTTCCTTGCTTACTTTGTTTTTCATTCTTTACATTTATCTTTACAAATGCTTTTTTTTTTTTTAATTTATAAGATTTTTAAAAAAAGAGAAGAAAGCTCTCTAGTTCTTTTTTACTTTTCTTTTCATTCAGAAAAAAATATTCGAGAATAGTTTTTTTTTTTTTTTTTTTTTTTTTTTTTTTTTTTTTTTTTAACATCTCGATCTTTTGCGTAAGGTAAACAGTTATTTTTAACCATAAAATTAATTGAGAATTAATGTCGAATGAGTTTTGTTTTCATAGTAAATAGTTTTAAATCTTCGAAGTTTTAGAAATTATTGTCTATTATAAATGTTGTATTTTTGAATTAAATTAATTTAAAACCAAAGTGAGGTGAAAATAACTAAAAATAGTAGATGCGAGATGAAAACCAGATACCATGTACATAAACATTGGAAAGCTAATACTTTTCCTTGAAATTGTTAGATAATATTATTATATCTGCATACAAGGTGTGCTAATAGAAAATGTTACAATCCTTCTCAAAAATGAGATAACCTTCCAAAATTGAATTCACACTTCAATATTTAAGGACGAAAAAAAAACACCATGAAAATCAGAATTATAGTAAAAATCATTTAGAATAAATGGGAATTTAAAACTATTTTATTTCATTACCCATGCCGCACTGCCGCTGGTAGTCAGTTCATATAGGGTGAGTCACATTCATGCATCATACAAGACAGGGAAAATACAGTAATAGAGACAACCATGCCCTGAGCGGGATTCAAACCCATAACTATTGGCTTCGCAGTCAGATACATTGGCCTCTCGGTTACCTGTTAGGAATATAAAACTATCAAAACCCAGGTTTTTTGTGGCAGAAAACAGGAAGGCTTTCCTTTTTAGAACCTCCCCTTATTTTCATACGGCAAATAAACATTTTTAAGTGATTTTAATACCACATTAGCTCAGATTGGCCTCAATAATGATTTCTCAAACTTTGACAATGTTTTCGTGTAAATTTGACGATCCTAACAAATAAGTTTTTAAAGCTTTATTTTTTCAAA